GACAGGATCTCCAAAAGGCAAACATCAGCCAATAATAACAGTGGACTGATACATTGTTCCGACTCTAGTGCAGACAAAGAGCGAGCTATATCTGTGTTTTAGCTACACAGGCAAAGCTTGTTAAAAAGATCAATTCAGTGGCAGATTCCACAGAAGTCTGACAGTAAATAAGTACAGAATATCAATATTTTTATCCCTAAGAGATACTCTTAACTCACTGAGTGTAAGACAATCAGTGATTGAACAACACCATGTGAAAACGGTTGTGCTTTAAACCTAAAGGCAATAAATACAATGTAAGAAACTGGATCAAGTGGATCAATGCACTGTCTTCATTTGTTTCTGCAGAGCACGGAGCTTCTGGCTATCAGGATACAATAGGAAGCTGACAACACAAGGAAAACATTGGGAGTGCTGGGAAATGCACATACTGTAGTGCCGTCAGCCAGCAACAGTAATTACAGACTGGATTGAAGAAAACCAGGAAGGAACCCTCTGTAGACCTGATAAGCAGGCAGCTTGCCTCTGAAAACATTGCACTCATGTGGACTTCAGCATGTGGGCTCTGCCCTCCACCAGGCCCCAAAGCTCCACAGTATTATCTCAGCTCTCAGAAATCTGGCTGCGTGTTCAGGCAGCATTGCCAAAACAAAGGAAGATTTGTCATGAGATAGGTAGAAAGACTGACAGATCACAGTATACATCAGTCAACTTCAGAGGGGGAAAGGTCTAAATTCACTCAAACGGGAGCAGACTTGTGAAGCTTCGGGGCTGCTTTCTGGAGGCTCATTTGACCTGCAAGGCGTGTTCTCCACATGGCTCTATCAGAGAATGATTTATCAGGAGTCGCACTGACACGAACAATTTACAGGAGCAATTATTACATCTACCTACACGTTATTAGAAGTCCTTACAGTCTCCTTAATAAACCAATAAACGGACTCACGACAACCTAACATTACATATCAGTGAACTTGGACCACTCACACCACAGAGAGGCACATTAAAGGTTTGGACAGCCGTGTATCACTGCCTGGCAGGAACAGCAGCTTCTGTATGCCAGCAATCATGAAAGCTAGTCTTGGAATAGACAAGTGTCATGTTGCAAAAGAAAACAGCACATGATATGAAAGGACATCGTCACAAGCAAAAACATGTAAACAAGAGACTCTGTAAACTAGATTAGTGCCAGAAAAACCCACAAAATTGCACAAAGTTCAACCCAATAAGAGTCAGAGTTTGGTACCATCAGGCTAACGCTCCAGGTGATGCACTGCAGCAACAAAGTGGCCGATCTCCCTGAGACGCCGCTTGTCCAGACTCTTCCTGTGGAGTACGCCTGGTTTCCTGTGCAGATCAAAGCTTGGATGGAGTCAGCAGCTGTAAAATTCCATCTCTACGGTTTTTAGGGATAACAAAGGTGTTTTTAAATTGGCCTCTGTGCTGTCATAGAATACCTGTTAATGATGTTCTGGGTAAAATTACTACAGCTGTGTCGGTCCTTCAGTGGCTCCAGCTTAACTGTGTTTATATGCGATATGTGCCAATGTTGCAATGTAGAAACGGGGAAGCAGAAATGTGTTTGTTTGCTGTCCTATTTTAAGCTGACCTGAAGTGGCAGAGATGACTCCTACGAGTCAAATGGGAACTTTAACCATGGCGCCGACGATTAAGCAGCAGGCCACGCAGAACGACGGGCCACACCTATCTCTCAGAGCTCCTGTCTCTTTTAGTGTAGCTGATGCCTGGACACATGCGCCTGTTTTTTATGCTGTGGAACAAGGAAGGAAACATATTGCAGAGAGGAAGGAGAAAGTTTACAACACCTCCCTGGCAATAATGACTACAAGCTTCCACTCTGGGTCAGTGTATCAGGCTATGTGAAACTCATTGTTTTTACTGTACCGCACATATTTTTAACAATTCAGTTCACATAGACATTCAGTGATTTTAATACTCGACAAGCTCACAAGTAGATGTCTTGATGACTGTAACCATCTAACCTAATCCTAACCAAGCAACAAACACTGTTTCAGAGGCAGAACTGGGTCGAAACATCATGAACTGTGAAATGTATTAGCACAATCACGACCTTCACAATCATGAATATGATTCAAAAGTCCCACAGTTTCACCAATCATTAATACTAAAAAAGGAACGAAACAATTTTTTAAAAAAGGAAGGGAGGAAAGCCATCCACTGTGGCAACTCGTTAAGGGAGCCGGTGGCAAATTTCCCTTCAACTCAACCTGACTTCATATTTTTCACCTGGGTGCCTGCACACCACCTGCAAGATAAGTTCCTGTTGCACAGATCTAGAAACTGCTCACCAACCCTGTTCCACCCCAAAGATCCTTGTGGCCTCTATCAAACATTAAAAAGACTAAAATTCAAATTTTCATTTGTTAGATGTTTGACATCTGAGGATACACATATTTCAGATCAGATGGTTTTTTTTTACTACAACTTCACCTACTTCCAAGTCTAAAACAGCTGAACTCAAGCAACACTTATCATATGAAGAACAACTTGACCTTGACCATGACCTTGATCAGGTGACCCTGAATCCTCCCTTAGTTCGCTGCAATAGGCCTAGGCTGCCAGGGGCTTCCCACAATGCACTAAATGTTTCGTGTTCACTCATCTTCTTCACCCACTATGTGCTTCACACCACTTTTCATTTAATCATTAGTTATTAATCTCTCTTCCCGAGCAGGTTTTTTGTGCTGTCTTCCTTCCCTCAGCCCAACCTGTCATCGCAGATAGCTGGCCCTTGGTGAGCCTGGCTTTTCCTGTTAAAGGGAATTTTTCCTTCCCACAGTCTAACATTCACACACTTACACTCCAGTAGATACGTCTTGCCCAAGAATACTTTGGCATGCGGAGTGGAGGAATCAAGGATTGAACTACCAGCCTTCTGATCACCGAGCATGAGCCACAGCTGGCCTTTAACGTTTAACGCAGAAAATAGACAGGGAGCGCATGCAGGTGTAACACTCAAACACTCCAGCAGGCCAGTGGATTTAAACCCAGGCTCTTCTTACTGTGAGGTGATTACTAGCGCTTACTAGTGTTGACCATCACACAACCATGCCACCCACTGTGCGTATATAAATTTACCTGTTTTGTCAGGCAAAGGTCTTAAAACCCTGATAACTATCCTGAAACTAAAGACAGACTTTGGTCTATTAAATAACGTTTCTGTTAGATCCTTCATAAGGACCATAAAACTGTAGTTCCTCAGTTGGCACCATGAGTCAAGGGATTGTGCAGCTTTCTGCACTCACTGAACCTCCAAGGACTGTTGTTAGGTTAAACTCCAGTAAAGCTGGTAATTGCAAACTAAAAATGAAATGCTGCCATGGGAATTTGCAGATGTAAGCTACTGAACGCTGTCACACTCATTTTTTCCCCTCAACATTTTGCCAACAGTAAAGTGGCAGTTTAAAAATGGGGACGTTTGTATGCCTCTGTTTCACCAGTCAGTTTGTCGCACTGGTTCCTCATGTGTTCGAGAATCTGACGTACAGCCCTATTGCTGCTTGATGTTTGTGTATTCTTTCAGATGTACAGTACACTTCAGTGCTAAAAGGAGACAACCAGGAATCACAGATGAATCTGTGATAGCTCACCATGTTTGACGCACGAGCGTCAAAGCCACTGAGGCAAGAATATACAGTTTACTGTGACTTCCAACGCATTTTACATCATAATGCATGAAGCCAAACAAAGGGTAAATGAAGGGGGAATTTGAGCGAGAGGAGAATTCTGCGGTTGCACTTCGATGTTGATGCAGAAAGAGGTTGTTTACTATAAAATACAAAGTCCAGCAGGGATTAAAACAAACAAACAAAAAACCACTCTTTCCATGCTGGAGAATAATCTTTCATTCTCACAGTTCGATGGGCAAACGTAAGCTGTATCTAAACTTCACATTCTTAAACTACACAGGAAATGATTACTCACACAGCAGTAGGAAGGAGCGCTACCGCTATTTGTATGACTCTTTAGAGCTTCCAGAAAACTGTCTCATGAATCATCTCCCAAGCCATATGAAACATCGCAGGCGGCGAGCTCGTGCAGTATGTTGAAACACATGGAAGAAGGATAAACAAATTAGTCCAGGCTGAAGGGCTTTTCCCTGCTTCATCAGGAAGACCTGCTAGATCCAAGGTCCAGCTGTGTATTAACTTGTAGTTACACTGCAAAACATTAACAGGTGGCTTCTGCCTCTCATTGAGCTTCTTTTTAGTAGCCGGCCTGTAAAGGCTGCCAAAACCACACCTTTCTTTATTATGCAACGTATGTCGGTGTGCAGCTCAAAATAAATAAAGGCTGAGGTGGTATTTAGAGTCTAGAAGCCACTGAGTAGGTGGTTGTGAGAGGAAGAGTTAACTAACCGGCAGCTTTACCTTTTTGAACTTCGATGCATAGAAAAGATCTCATTCCGGGTTTTAAATAAAGGTCCCTGGAGTCATGTTTGACAGGCTGGCACGCTACACAAGATTTATGGCTTACAGCAGCACAACAACACCAAAAACAAACAACAAAACTAAAGTAGGCTGGGCGAAGTGCAGATAACCTTTTTTGTTATCAGAGAATAGGAACGAGCCTCTGTCAGATGTCTGACTGCTCTCAGGCAGCCTTCAACCTGGAGGCGATATGATCACGCTTCAGTTTTTGGCACCAGTCCAGAAAGCTCCAACGACATGAGAAGCAGTGATCGTGGATAAATCAGTAATTATTCCACCTACGAAACAGCATATAAAGTAATGACTGGAGTGAATCCTGGATTTTTCGCTAACAGCGTGCCTGTCATTCATTCCCGGTGTAATAACTGCTAACTTTGATCGCGTTGCTTAACAGGATCAAAAACTTCTATCAGGTGTCTCACGGTCACACCTCCCACAGCTGGCACTAATAACATCAGAAACGTACACAGCGTGAAAGAGCAGAACTTACCTTGTGCGTCTGATATGCGCAAGCTCGCCTTTCTGCCTGAGCTTACGGTTAATCGAGCTGCGGGACTGCTGTGGAAAGTAAAGTGCGTCCTCAGTCAGACTGACAGGCAGTAGTTTCTGTGCAGCTGGGTCCAGCGATTAAGGGGCGGTGCTCTAACGTGGGACAGATCCCACGTGGGCACAGCGCCTGTGGCTGCTGTTTAATCCACACTTTCTCAGGGAAGGACACCACTCCGCCGACCACCTGCTGTCTGCGCGGAAAGCAGGTGAGAGCTGCC